CCCCTTCAAGTAATATATCATCTGATCTGAATTTAGGTAAGTCTCTACTAACTGCTATTAAAGTCACTGTTGTGATTAACACTATTCAACTGCCAACTCTGCTGAAACAATTCCATGCCAGTTACTCATCTTAACAGATCCAACAAGCAGTATCAATTCATTAACACAGTTTGTGGTATTTACTTACAGCAGCAACTGTGTGGTAATCGATAATCTGTGTACATAGAACTACATATTTGAGTCTAGTTCCTTTGCATGCCGTGTACTTAAAATAATTCCGTCTTATCAACATGAACCTTCAAGAAAACAACAACACTGAGTGAGTTCACAGAAATCTTCTAGGTTGCTTTTACTTTGACCCCATTTCCAACCCCGCCCTTCACTATTATAAAACAATGTTATCACTCCATTTCTGCCATTTTAAAAGTGTTTTTAATTTCTTCCAGCTCTTGTTATTTCTCCATAAGTAACTGACATTTGTAGCTCTATTTTCCAGCCCACTTCCTTTTTAAAATAGGCACTAATAACACTTAAACGTGTTCCTGTCTTGCATGCTCTTTCATTCCTTTGTCACTATTAGAGGGTGGATTTCACTTAATTCCCCTCTCCAACAGTTCTAAAAACTGTCCCCCCCAGCTCTCAAAGGTTCTACAAATACACATGAACAGGCTATGACAGGAGTCCTTTTTCCTCGAATATCTCTCCTTGTTTACAGCCATGAGTTATGAATTTCTAGTTGTTGGGTTTAGGTTAGACCCAGAACATATTATTTATTACTTTCTTTTACATTTCTTTCAAGGACTAAAGAAATAAAAGTAAAATGGGTTAGAATGGAGCTGCTTACGCACAAGGGGTAATTGCACCATATCCAAGTAGAATGAAAAAAGCAGGTTTTCATCAAACAGAAGATGAGGCTTTTGTGTGTTGCACTGTTTTTTTAAGACTACTGCATTTTAGTACTTGGTTATCCTAAGATAATTCTTAAAAGGGACAGCATCCTACATAGTCAACTAAAAAGTAGTTTTAGATACCACGTCTGCCCTGAGTCCCTCAGCCAATTTTTGTGGTTTGACCTGACCTCATTCTTGCTCAGATTATAGTTATTTTAAAGTTTTAAAGAATAAATTTCAGATAAAAGTGTGATTTTTAAGTTGATGGTGTCCTTTTGAACTCTGCTGCCAGTATCTAAAGTATGGCATCTCCAGTTCTACTTTTGAACAGTTAAACTAGTTTCCAGTGTACTCATGGATGACAAATCCATTTGTATTTCAAGTGCCTGTTTAGTCCTTTAAGTTCTAATAATTCCTGGATTCTGCTGCCATTTGTTGAGGCAGACTAGAAATTCTGCAATAGTTTCAATTAAAAGGAGTTTAAATATGAAAATTATAGGAATAGTAACTACACACACTTAAATTTGATGTTCCCTCACGTGTTCAACTTGCCAATTTATTTTACATTGATAATGCACAATTGTATGTTGGACATTGTCAAGGGTGAAGATGCAAGTTTTGATGACTGGATAGTTTGGGATTGTGAGATAATCAAAACTTCTAGCTAAATTGTTTAACTATTTTATAACTGATCATTTTATGTTGACATTTTAATGCCTAACATTAGGTTTCAGAATTACCAACCCAGCTGGACAAATAAGGAATGCCACACTTTTGAATTCAGAGGGTCCTCCCTATAACAGAGACTTAAGAGTCTAAAACTGAGAAATTCCCAGGACATGACCTTATTTTCGCTACATTTAGTAAAGAATGACTCAGATTGCCAAAAAATGCATTTTTAAAAGCACTCACACACTTGAGACTATTCCCAGATATTAGCTAAATTTTGTTAAGCTCCACTATATTAATAATTTAAAGGGAATAGTAAGTGCAAAGATAACTAAATATTAGAAATCCAGGATTTTTTAAAGAGAAAGCTTGTAAAAAGATTAAACATTGGAATGCATGGAAATAAGGTTAAATCAAATTATCTTAATTCCCAATCTCATTGCCCAGAGAGCAATCAGAACATGATAACTGTAATCAGTTGATAATACACAGGATCAAAATGACAGCAACTTATAGTGAATAAAGATTTGTGTCTTCTTGATGGTCATAGACAGGCTCAGGAAAAGCAGAACTTAAAAAATGTAGATGAATAAGCAAAGGAACTTAATCTTCACTATCCACAAAGGGTACATATGTCATCATTCATGTAAAAGTGCCATATATAGCACTAGTATATGCACCTATGCAACGCCTCCTACATCAAGACAAAATTTGCCATTTACACAGAGAGACCAAATAGATTTAAAATTTCTAGGGCGGGGTGGGGAACCTATGGCCCGCAGGCTGAATGTGGCCCCCCAGCTTGTCTCCCTTAGGGCTCAGGGCTCCCCCCCCCCCCCGACTATGAGCACCACCCTCCTGCGGGGCTGGAGCATGTAAAATCTTCCAAACGCCCCCGCTCCCTCCAAGCTCAGGCTCTGGTATACAAGGGGGAATGTGGAGAGAGTCTTTCTGCTCAGTCAGGGGCCACATCTAATGTGTCCGTACATGAACACAAGAAATCTGGGATACAAGCAGGAAGAATTGGAAGTCCTGGCACAGTGAAATAACTATGATTTCATTGGAATAAGGAAGACTTGGTGAGACGACTCACATGATTGAAGCACTGTCATCGAAGGGTATAAACAAGGGGGAATGTGGAGAGAGTCTTTCTGCTCAGTCAGGGGCCACATCTAATGTGTCCGTACATGAACACAAGAAATCTGGGATACAAGCAGGAAGAATTGGAAGTCCTGGCACAGTGAAATAACTATGATTTCATTGGAATAAGGAAGACTTGGTGAGACGACTCACATGATTGAAGCACTGTCATCGAAGGGTATAAACTGTTGAGGAAGGACATGCGGGAGGGACAGGGTGGAGGAGTTGCACTGAATGTAAGAAAATAGTATGATTGCTCAGAGCTCTAGTATAAAGTGGGAGAAAAGTCTGTTGAGAGTCTTTGAGTCAAGTTTAGAGGCAGAAGCAACAAGGGTGATGTTGCGGTGGTTATCTGCTTTAGACTACCAAATCAGGTGGATGAGGTAGATAAGGCTTTCTTCAGAATACTAACAAAAGCTTCCAGATCACAGGCTCTGGTTCTCACCCTGATATCTGTTGATATCTGTTGGGAGACCAATACACAATGCACAGACAATCCAGGAAGATTTTTGAGAATATTGGGGCCAACTTCCTGGTACGAATACCCAAAGAACCAACCAGAGGCCATGCGCAGCGTGACCTGTCACTCAGAGAGAGGAATTAGTAGTGTGAGTAGATGTGAGTTGCAACCTGGGCAGAAATGATCATGAGATGGCTGAGTTCAGCATCCTGATGAAAGGAGAGCAGGAAAATACAGACCCTGGACTTCAGAAAAGATGACTTTGACTCCCTCCGGAAACTGACAGGCAGGATCCCCTGGGATGCTAACACAAAAGAGAAAGGAATCGAGGAGAGCTGGCAGTATTTTAAAGAAGCCTTATTGAATGCACAGGAACAAATCATCCTGATGAGCCATAAGGAAAGCAAATATGGTAGGTGACCAGATTGGCTTAACAATGAAATCCTTGGCGAGCTTAAACACATAAAGGAAGCTTACTAGAAGTGGAAAGGTGAATAGATGATTAGGGTAGGCTCAATGGGTAGTATTCAACAGTTCGATGTCTGGTTGGCAATCAGTATCAAGTGGTGTGCCCCAAGGGTTGGTTCTGGGACTGGTTTTGTTCAACAACTTTACTAATGACCTGGCTGAGGGGAGGGGTTGTGCCTTTAGCAAGTTTGCAGATGATACTAAGCTAGGGGGAGAGGGAGATACCCGGGAGGGTAGGATAGGGTCAAGAGTGACCTAGACAAATTGGAGGATTGGGCTAAAAGAAATCTGATGAGGTTGAACATGGAGAAGTGCAGAGTCCTGCACTTGGGATGGAACTGGCTAAGCAGCAGTTGAGCAGAAAAAGACCTGGTGATTACAGTGGATGAGAAACTGGTTATGAGTCAACACTGTGCCCTGGTAGGCAAGAAAGCTAACTGCATAGTGGGGTGCATTAGTAGGAACATTTCCAGGAAATTTAGGGAAGTGATTATTGCACTTTATTTGGCATTGGAGAAGTCATATCTGGAGTACTGTGTCCAATTCTTGGCCCCCCATTACAGAAAGGATGTGGACGCATTGCAGAAAGGTCAGAGGAGAGCAGCAAAAATGATTAGGGGGCTGGACCACATGATTTACAATAAGATGACGGATTTGAGATCCTGCCTGGGAAAATAAAGTTGGGACTGGTCCTATTTTTAGCAGGGAATTGGGATTGGACTTGATGATCTCCTGAGGCCTCTTCCACTCCATGATAATTCAGTAATGGAGCCACTGTCAGAATTACTAACAGGTAGAATATTTCTCCCCCATCAGGGAGTTACCATGTTGAACTAACTATAAGATCTGTTGGTAGTAATCTGACAAATCACTTGGATTATTGTATTATCCTATGACAGTATATCCTAGCATGAGTCCAATCAGTGCTGCTTTGCCTTTTTGCCCCCACCTCATTATTTTAAGGCTACTGTCTCATCAAGCAGAGATAAATCTCCATTTTCTACCGAAGTTTACTACTCTTAAAATACTTCTGATTTAAAACATTTGGGATATTTTAACCAACAGGAATGCTGTATGACAGTATGCCAAAAATCAAAAGTGATGTTACAATCACGGCACCTCGTGAGCTGCTTTTCCTATTCAGATATAAGAGTTATAAAATAATAAATTTGCAATACAGCTTTCAGTTCCTGAATATACAAAGTATTCTGGTGGTGGGAGCCATGACAGAATCAAACTAAAGGCTCCAGCAGCACATATTGTGATTGTCATGGTTCTACCACCTTCAAAGCAATGTAATTATATATGCATGCATTCTGCATGCTTGCATCAACACGTTATATACATATTACATGGTTCTCTAGTAAAACTGTAACTTCTTACTTCCTCAAAAAGTTATTGTATCAAAAAAGTTCTCATATATGCAATATTGCCAACATTTAGCATTAAATCATGAGGCAAGCACATTTTTTTAATATTATAATTGGAGTTCTTTTTATTGAACATCTGCATGCTGGAATTGGAACACAGTTGGGTTTGTTTTAGTCTACAACACTGAGGATTAGATTTTTTTTTAATGAAAGTGAAATTTCTTAGGTAAATAACCTGAGGCATGCTTACTGCAAGTCTTTTAGAAAACACTAAAAATGACATGAGTCTCATGATCAACACAAAGTTTGGCAACACTGGAAAGTAAGATGTTCTTGGTACACAGTTCCAGCTCATTCACACAAACAGAAAGATCTATAAGTGCATTACAATATTTTATACTAATGAAATAAACCAAATTTTAAAAAACGTAACTAGAACATGGTCACCAGAATTTGATAGAAAACTAACCTTCCCCATCCTTTTCTGAAACATTTAAGGCACTTGAGGCTGGCCAGTTTTTACAGGCAGACAAAGTCTACATTTTAAAAATCCTAATCATTTAAATTAAATAAAATCCAACAAAGTACAAAAACATTGCAAAAAAGCTCCTACAACCATAACATTCAGTAAATACTAAAAAACTTTATACTTTAGAATAAAATAAAATACTTCACTTAGTTTCTTATGGTTTGCTATAAACAATGTGGCAAGTTCCGAGCTTATTGAACTGGCAGAGCACAGACACACAATTTCTATGGTCCCCTTTCAAACACAGTCAGGTTACCAAGTAGCTAATAAAGTATGTCTGTGTCATGGAAATAATTCATCCCTGCACTAAAGTTATTTTTTCCATATCAGTCAGTTAAATTACCAGACCATGCCAGAAAGTAACTACAAATTGCTTCTTCTGTTTCAGATATTCTTAGTTCCTCTCCTCTTAAGTGTTCCATTTTATTTTCCCCAGGAATAAGAAAAGTCAAATAGCTCTTTAAAAGGATGAGGTTTATATTACATCACCCTCTTTCACAATGTTTTCTTTGGTAAGAAATGAAGAAGTTGGGAGGTCTCAAGGTATATAATGAAGAGCATAGGATCCCACTCCTGGGCACTTGATCCTCTAGAATACTGAACATTTCATAGAGATAGTATGCAGTAACAAGCTTCTCTTTGATAATAGCTTCCCTCTCCTCCACCCTAAACAGGTAACATATTATAAATAACTATCTGCATGTTGCTTTACTTTTTTAAGCACTATTTTAAATTAAAGCATAACCCAACGGTTATTCTCCTCAATTAGCTTATATGTTCCTTAAAACCCCAAGGACAGAGGGACGCGAACTGGAAACCTGGCAAACACTTTCAAATTATTTCCAGGGAAGAAGTAGCTGCACATGTCTTCCAGTCTTTAGGGAAGAGGGGGAAACAGATATAGTAAGATGACCTCTGACATTTTTCTTTGTGGAATTTTGGTCATCTTATTCCTGACATTTTACCATTCCCCTCCCTCTACTAGAGGCTTCTTCAATGGAAAGAATTGTTTTTAGTGGAACATATCCAAGTTAAGATTTTGTCATTGGGTGGCTATCACTCTGAATGTTCACCTCAGAGCTGAAAAAATTAAAGGATGAATCCTCTGCACCCTCATCAGCACTGAGGTTTTTAGGGTCTCCCAGGCAGTCAGCCAAGATGTCTTGGGGGTCCCTTAAGAATACCAGTACGACAGTGATGTTGTCATTGGATCCATTTTCCTTTGCTGAGGCCACCAGTCTCTCTGCTGCCTTGAAACCATCTCCTTTGTTTTGCATTAAGTGACCTAGGACCAGGTCCACTACTTCATCTGGTCTGATGGCATCAAAGAATCCATCGCAGGCCAGGAGCAAGTAATCTTCAGAACCTGTCAGCTCAAATGAATTGCCATCTGCACTTCCAGAAATATAGGGCTTCTGATATATATCACCTAAACAAGAAAAGATACAAATCTGACTGCTTTAATATGAACGATGCATCCTTGTCAGCCAACTGTTTCTATGATTCCTCAGAATTTGAAATGCTTTCTTAGGCCCAGATCATATTCCCGAGATCCATGAACAGCTCTCTCTACACCTCAGGGATGAGGGCTTCACAGCTAATGGAGAAAGGCCTTCAACTCTTAGCAATTCTGTGGGATTAATATGGATTTAAGGGCATCTACTATGTTTTGGGGATGGTGTTAAAGCTCATTTTACCACTCCTTTAGAACAGAATGATACACGAGGAACTTCCCAAGAAAATCCTAAAATTTTCCTCCCTCAGATATATTTGTGGAAGGGTATGCTCCCTTCTTCCCCCTGCATACTAAGAGTGAATCTTGTGGAATCTTTGGGACACCATGGAGGAACTTTATGTTCATTAGCAATAACGACATGACAGGAATAAGAACATCTCCTTGCATACTGTACAATGTCCACATTTTTCAGTTCAACAGCACTATCTGTTCACATTCATTTTAACACAAGTGATACAGGCTTACCACTACCTTAAGTACTATACAAAATAATAACTTGTTTCAGTTCAGCCATTACAATTCTTCATTCACTGTTATTACCTAGGGTCTTTTCTCATTTTCCTTTAAATGGTAAGCATCCTAACAGTTCTTTGCATGGCATTTGGGAATATTAGGATGCAAATTGTACACTGCCAAGGTTTATGTTAGATTTTTGCCCTTTTTTAATTATACACCTTAATATATACATGTTATTCTCTTTGCTGTGTTTCAAAAGTCATATTTGCATTCAGACTGCAAATATGACTTTTGAAACATAGCAAAGAGAATAACATGTATATAATAAGGTGTATAATTAAAAAAGGACAGAAAGCTGTATCTTCCATTTACAGAAGTTGATCCAGTAAGATATGAATTCACCCACCTCCTATGGAGATATTCAGATATCTTTCAGATCAGAAGCCAATATTTGCACTAGTATCCTGTAAAACACACTTTGCAGTCCTACTAGGCTTTCAGTTAAATCATGATATGTTAGAGATGTTTTAACAAAAGAACTAAACTAGTTTTATTTTTTTTCTTCAAAAACTGCTAAGGGTTGTGATGAACCCAAGAAATTTAATATTCCATTATTCCAGCACTTACAATAAAAGAAGCAATTTATTCTTCAGCCCAAGATGGGCAAACATTATTATCTCTTTATTAATAAATGATTATCTAATTATTCAGCCCCAGGATTTTTTGTATTATGTGTTCAAAGATCATTTAGTTTTGACTAATGGCCTTACTTACCAATTGCCCTGGAAACAGCAAGGGTTCCATTGACCCGCCAACAGTCTACGTAGGTCACACAACCACCCAGGGCTTCTATACGCATTCTCTCATCCTAAAAGAACAACTCTTTAAAGTAAGAACATATCCTACACATCTTACTAAATTCATTGGCAGCCAATGTTGCGGAGAAAAATCTTAAACCCCTTCAACTTGTAGACTTATAATAAGATGAAAATAGCTTTTTTTAAATAAACGAGCATCAATAGTGTTCAGAAAAATGTGCTTAATAAAAAAAGTGATAGTCTTATTGCAGTGTTCAGTTGAGTATATGTGAAAAAGGAATCTTCCCTATGGACTGTATCATTGCTTGTTTGTGAAACAAGAAGTGAGAATCTTTGTCTATGTCATTACAATAATGTCCATAGGAACAAGCTGGCAATACCTCCATCATCATGCAAATATTTAAGATTGTGAATGAAAGTGGAAAGAAAGAGATAATTAAAGGTTTATTGTAAAGTTTATTATATGTACAAATAAAAAGTGCATTTAGAGACATATATAATACATATATTAAATAATATATAACCTATATTTCTCAAGCCCCCCCCAATTTATTTTGTTCATACTATAAAGGAGATAGTTCATGCAATGCCATGCCTAAATACTTGCCATGCCTAAATCAGTTATAGTTACATTTGATAATAAAAAGAAATATAAAATTGATTAAGCCAGTTATAATACTAAATTATTATTGCCTTTTGGATGATGCTATTATGTAAGCCAGGTCTGAAATTAAGACAACACTAGTTTAATAATGCAATGGTAACTTTTTAAAATACTTAGTTAATTGTGTTAATAAAAGGCTTGCAGTTGTAGATTGTTCATGGTTGCTATGTATGCAAAATTCTATAGTACTACAGTTTTTACAAGGGACATACCCAACAGTGTACAGTTCAGATCTGGTCTTCAGCACAATCTCTTTCTTTGGAAAAACATGCATTCAGAACTCACAACTAGATGGGAGAAATGATGTGTCAATCTTGCCTAACTATGCTCCATAACCTTCTATCTTAAAAGGAATTAAAAGTGGCTAGAGATTTTTGAGACATAGTTTATGAAAAGATGCTTGTGATATGAATGTGCCATAATTGAGACATACTTTATGCAAGATAATTCATGTAGGGTATCATTGAAAAGGTTATGATTTATTGAATATGATTATCTACTTATATGCATGAATTATTTTTGTATCTGCAGTTAGGAATAATGACTAATATGTATCTGTATTTCCAACTATGATTCTTTAGATGATGCCTACTGACAATACTTCAGGTACTATGATCGAAAAGGTAGACAGGGCTGATGGCCCGTCAGCAAAGACAGTGGACTGTGAAAAGGCCTGACCTTCTTGTGGACTTCCATATTGTTACTGATTTATGGCCGCTGGGATGCTACAGAGTCAAAACCTGGTCACCTGATACTAACCTGCATCTTGAACTGTTCCATAGGATGGTGGAGACATAAAACAAAGGATTCCCGCCTTATGGAAATTCAATATAAGGTGGGGAGGAAAGAAATCATGGCCTTTAGATTGTTTCTCCTCCAGCTTCGCACCCCAAGATACACTTGAAAAAAACTAGAAATGTAAAGACTTGCACTGGGGGCGAGAGGGTGGCAGAGAACTGGACTCAGGCTAAAAAGATACCTGGCCTATGAAGGATTCTACCTGAAATAACATTTAGGGTGAGGAATTATTATTTGTAACCAGTTTCTTCAGTGAATCTAGCTTAGTTTGCATGCTTTGCATTATTTTCTTAGTAATTTTCTTTGTTCTGTTTGCTACCTCTTTGAACACTTAAAATACACCTTTGTATAGTTCATAAATGTATTCCTTGTTTATAATATCACCCAGTTTATATAATGTAGAGATGGGGGCTGCATGGTGGTGGCAGGAGCTGGGATGACAGCAGGAGCTGTGGCCATGCAGTGATGGTTGGAGCTGGGGCAGAGCTTGTTTACACCTGTAGCATCGTCCTCCCCACCAAAATCTGAAATGGCATCCCTGGAGCCAAAAAAACAGGCTTACTTCTCTTTCAGGTTTGTGAGGTTCCATCAGGGTCACTGCTTTTCCCTGCTGCACCAACATTACCTGGGAGTCTCCAACCCAGGCTATGTGTAATCTGTTCCCTACGATTAAGGCAGATACACCTGTTGTACCACTCCGAAGCCTCTACAAAGAAAAACAGCTGTGCAAGTTAAACTACAGTTTCATAACACAACATTATAAATTAAGTTTAATTACAACTTATTAATTATGCAGCAAGTTAGACCTTTGTGAACTGATTGATATCCATTGAATAAAAAGGTACAAATATAAGAAAACACAAATTTAGAAGAAAACCTATTCTAGCTTTCAAGTATCAGACACTGCTATAGTTGTTCTCTTCTACTTGTCTTCACTAATGCTAATATTAGTTTCAAAATAGCCATTTCTTTACTTGGGTTTTCTGAAAAGCAGAGGAAGCAGTTTGCTTTGACCTTCAGCAGCAAGAACCTTTTTCAGTACTGAGCCGGACTTTTCTTCCGCATACGTCACCCTGTTTGTCTTCCTCTGGCAGTGTAATATTCTTATTTCCGGACATCCTTATTACAACACTTTGAATGTTCCTGTTTCACAGCTGCCACTATAAAGATTAGAGTGTTCTCCTTTTGCCCATTACCACCTTCAGTTCCCTTATAATACATAAACCTAGTTTAACTGATTTTTAAAAATTTCTCATCCTCCAGTTCTTGCCATGCACCAATTTCACTCTACCTCTAATATAGGGAAAGGAGGAAAAGAAAGGTAAAAATTCAATGATGGTGCTAGTGGAACAAGCCTTAAGAAAATACAAAGATTTTATTTGCCTGTCCTGTATAAAATTATTTGATACAATTTAGTATAGTCTACTCCTCCTTCCCCCTCCCATCCTCCACCAACAACCATTTGTTGCCTGTATATTCCGTGAGATTGACAATTGTGAAATAGCACTAATTGCTCATTTCAAAATTTTTATCTTCCTGAACTTGTAGGCATTGGTTCTTATGAGAAGGAGAATATAATTTGAGCTATGAAATATCTTCCACTTAGGATACTTGACAAACAAATCAGAATGAATTCAAAGTTTAACTGTATGAAATCAAAGTTCTCTGAAAACGCCTGTCTTTCTTACTGCTATCCAAAGTATTCTCCCAATTGCTTAATCACAATGGAACACTCACCTCTCTTTTGGCTTTAAAAAGAAACATTTCATCAGTTTGCTGGAAAGCATCTTTCAAGGCTTCAGTTGGGTTCTTAAGAAACTCCTTGTGTAGTGCCACATTGACGTGCAAATGAGTTGCTGCATAATTGGCGGCATCCACTCCACCGTGACCATCAAATACGGCAAAGTATGCTCGATCAATGTCATCCTTTTGGCAGGAGGAACATACAAAGAGCTCAGAAATAAATGTCAATTTCCAGATTTTATGCAAGCAATTCAGTGAAAATGTGTGCACTTCTATATGTGAAAGCACAAGCATGTGCATAGATACAATACAATGAAAATAGTATTGTGTAAGATAGTATGGTGTAAAATAGAATATGAATCTCACAGTGGTATGTATTATTTTTCTTTACTTCTTACTGATCACTAATCAGATTCTTGAAAAGGAATGGGAATTGAAAAGACAGATTGGAGGGCTCTGTGGTTTCATTATATCTGTAGTAAGCATCTCTGGATTCTCAACCAAAATGCTATTTTTCACTTTTATTATCATCAGTTCTCCCAAAATATAGCAACA